ACTTAGATGCATATCATTAGTTTTATGTCCCTTATTTGCCTTAGTATAAAATTTTAACTCCATCTTAGTTAACATAGGGTTTTATATTCGATTTTGTGCACCTTATGATTTTTTGCCTCTACTGGCTAGAGCCCTCTAAAAAAAGACTACATATTTCCTCAAAAAAAAAAAAAAGCACCCAAATCCCGCCTTCTAACTTTGGATTCTATTCTCCATGAGGTAGATTAAATTTTAATTAATCATATTTCCTCTGATATACATTTCATGATTTATTTAGATCTGGGTTCTAAACTTTATATGCTTGTAAGCCTTGATAGCCCAATTAAAATAACTAAAAGTTTCAATCATAGAAAGAGTCTTTATATCGAAGATAGTTTGCAATTGAGTTGTATTTCTATTGAGGCAGTTTGACTTAGATGCGCTTCATTAGTTTTATTTCCCTTATTCGCCCTATTTAGTATAAAATTATTGTTCTTGGATAATACTCTAACCTGATGACCCCTAATAGTGGGAAAATTCGATCAAAATCTTATATTTTGTTATCATGAATTATCATGAACCATTATCTACTTAGTCAGCGGAGGTGGTTGACCCAATTAATTTAAAAAATTCATAATTGTAGCCATGGGTTGTTTCGTTCAAAGAAGCCTTATAGACTTGTGCATGTTTGCACAAGAGACAATTTTAACTCTATCTTAGCTAACAAAGGGCTTTATGTCCAGTTATGGGCATCTTATGATATACAACTTGAGTGGGCTTGAGCTATTAGGAACATGCATTCTCTTGCCTTAAATCTTAATATAATGACGCAATTTTTTAGTGAAACCACATGGTAAATGGGTCTAATTATAATCGTTATTTAGTGCAATCATTTGATGATAAAACCCCCTAATTAGAGGAGGGGGTTCGCTCAAGAAAAATGTGCCCAAACCCCGCCTTCTAAGTTAGGATTATGTTCTCCATGAGGTAGATTACATTTTAATTAATCATATTTCCTCTGATATATATGTCAGGGTTTGTTGATAAAGGCTCTTTCTAAACTTTCTATGAGCATAAACCCTGATAGCCAAAATAAAAAATTAACATATAAAAATTTCAATCATAGAAAGAGTCTTTAAACTGAAGGTAGTTTCAAGTTTGTAATTGAGTTATATTTCTATTGTATTCGTTTGACTTAGATGCACATCCATTAGTTATATTTCGCTTATTTGCCCTATTTAGTATAAAATTTTAACTCTATCTTTCAGCTAACATAGGGTTTTATGTTCGGTTATGTGCACCTTATGATTTTTTGCCTCGACTGGCTAGAGCCCTTTCGAAAAAGACTAATACAAAAACAAATCACCTCCCTCAAAATAACAACATAGTTAGCCTTACATAGGCTCCTCCTAATTCCCTCCCAAATCAGCCCCCTTTCTCTAAATAATTCTCTCGTAGATTTTGAATCCAAATTATATCTCTTGCACTAAATAATTCATTCTCAATTGTAATTAAAACTTTTCTAAACAATTCCTGCTTGATTCCGCCTCTTTTTCCCTAAATAATTCCCTCTTAGATTTTGAATTCAAATTAGATCTCTTGCTCTAAAATATTCCATTCTAATTGTAATTAAAAATTTTGCAAACAATTTTCCTTTGATTAAGAACCTTCCTAAACAGCTACTTCTTGATTAGAAAACTTCCTAATTCCCTCCCAATCAAATCGGTCGGCCCATCAGCATGCTTTGGCCTTGATCTTAATATAATGATGCAATTTTGTAGTGAAACCACATGATAAATGGGTTTGATTATAACCATTATTTAGTGGTGTCATTTGATGATAAAACCTCCTAATTAAAAGACAAGGTGTCATGTCCTTCCTGATTTAGGATTTTTTGAGAACTAACATATACGCTTGGCAACATATTGACTCTATTTTAGTAGAAGTTAATCTTAAATTTATTAACCTCGACAAACTGGATAAGAAGATACATAGATTATTGCTTTTCGTTAGTGATAGATTGCAATTGAATACTTTTATATTTTATTATAGCATTTTTTTTTTGGATTTGGTATTTTTATCTAATATAATCTATATTGGGATTTGGGGCATTTTGAAAGTAAGATCCCCTCTAGTTGAGATTTTTTATCAATACGAACTTTATCGAGGTTATGTTTGTACTTGATCGCTTTAAACCTTGTCAACTCTATCTCCTTTTTTATTGAGCATTGTGATCAAAGATTAACTTTGCGAGCTATTATATAAGTGAGGTGATTTTGAGAGTTTGTTATTTGAAAAGAATTTTCTTCCTAAGAGGTTTTAAAGGCTTAATTTGAATGTAAAATAAAATATCTCATGAATTCACTTAATTATAATGAGAATAAGATTTGAAATGCTTCTTTTATTGTAATCTATTTGAAATTTATTGCTTGAACATCCCTAAGACACAGCTATTGTGAGGAGGAACGAACTTGAAACATGAGACTTACACCTTTATCTTTTAGGTGAGGTAGCCCGTTCAAGAGTTGTGCAATAATGAGTTTGATTTTTAAAGTAGAGTTTACAAAATTTTCAAAATGATTGCACAGTCATTTCTAAGTTGGTTGCATGATTCAAGGAATGGGTTAAATTTAAATTCAATTCATGCACTATTCTCATACTTTTAAGTCTGCACATTCAACACACTATTGAATGACATGCGAATAAGATTACTTTTAGTGATTTGACACAACATGATGCTTTTTGAAATGTCTGCACAACCCATAACAGAAAACAGTGAATTGCTCATCTTATTTGGAAAGAATTTCATTCATAAGAGCCTAGTACATTCATTGCAGTGTTATGTCGTTTGAGATGCGCATGTGTTAATTATAGTGATTGATGTGCACATCAGTTTTTATACATCTCATGACATGTATTGATTGGGTTAGGCCTTTTGCTCTCGTGAACTCACAACTGTTGAGATATATGAAAGTCTGATATGACAGTTGTTCACGTGAATTCGTTATTCTTGGGACACACATGAATTTGCATTTTAGGTTCATTATTGATCACATTATGTGCAAATGTTTTGGATCTGATTGAGATTTTCATAAGTTGGAACCCATCAAAGAGATACAATTTTATTTTCATATGCTTTGTATTTTGCTTAGGTGGGTCCTGCAGGGAATCAATCTTCCATCTATAAATAGGAGCCCACCCTAGTTTGCTTTCATTATAAGTTCAGCTCAATGAGTTTCTTCTTGAAGATTATAAGTGTTTAGGAGGGTTCTTAGTGTAGTTAAGGAGTTCTTTGCTCATAGATGAGTTTTCAAATTTATTATCTGTAAGTTCAGTTCAAATTCTCATCTTGTGTTGTATTCTGCTTCTTCTAAATTCTTGTGCCTCGACTTGTAGATCATTTTGAGTTTCTGTTTAATATTCTTTTGTAATTTTATTTTCATTTTTACTCATATTTTTTGAGGTCTACAAATTTATTTAGGTTTATTATGTTTTGAGTCTTATCATTGGAAATTATTCCAGCATAACCCGTATAGAGTGCGTTGGGGGGAACATTGAGTCTGACAACCGCACCACTAATATGTGTATGGTTGTAAACAGTATGGCTTGCCTCCCCCCATCCCCCCCCCCCCCCTTCCAAAAAGCCCCGCCTGAAAGCCCCGCATGAGTCTGTGTCTGCATGAAAACTTTTCAAACAGATTTTTTGTATGTGGTGCGGTGGGCTTGGGATTCTTATTCTTTACTAATATGTTTTTAGTTTTCTGTTATTCAAGTTTTAAAAAAATAATCTTTTCATTATTTTTGATTGAATTTAATAAGTTACATTCTTATTATTTTGTTTTAGTTTGCCTACTCAATTCTTCCCATTATCAGCACAGTTGGGTGGTTTGATTGTGACATCCCAGCAAATTTTTACCCTCTTCTTTCTATAATCCGGTTTAAGTCATGATAACTTGCTTACAGATGACATCCTGTTATCTATTGCTCAACTTCTAAATGGTACTTATTGGGATGCCTCAGTTAATATCACATCTTTTGTTTTTCATTAGGAGTTTGAATTGACACAATCTTAAATGGATTACACCATATAACACGGTAACTATTCTTTGGTTTGAGTGTAAGTGTAAGTACTCAACTGCCTCTAAAGTCCACGATTCCCATCCCAATGTTTACTGCAGTCATCATGATTTGTCTTATCCCAACTATTTTCGGTTGGCAATTTCAATATTTAGTGTGCTAGTCCATCTTCCACATCATGCCAGCCTAGCTTAATTTTAAGTAATTATTCTAGTCCAATGCCCAAAATGAAGATTGAGATTAATGATGATTTAATTATTTGTTTATCGTGGAGGACTTTTCATATCACTATATTAATTTGTTTTGGTTGGATATTAGAGGACTATTAACAACTGTCACAACAACTTTCTTAAAATCATATCCCTCCAGTATAGTTACGTCCAATTTCAGGGTTCTTTTCTATACTTTCTGATATTTCACTTCTCAAAAGTACATGTTATAATGAGTTCTTAAAGATCCCAAACATCTGATTTAAAAAAATAACTGTAAGAAAACCTGATCTAAAATTTTACATACAAGCAGGGGTACCATGGAGACAATCATAATACTACTTGTGGTTACATGAACTGTATTTATTTCAATGAATTAGTGTACAGAAATGTGCTTAATGGTCAGAATTATGATAATTGTTTGCAAAATAAATCCAACTTGTCCTCACAAAAAAAAAAAAAAAAAAATCCAACATGTCCTCACAAGGCAAGTCAATTACATAACTCTGGCTTATGGTTGTTGCTGACCTGTAAAATTTTTTATGTCTTATTTTGTTTCTTCTCCGTCTTCTTCAAAAAGCATTGCCTTCTTTAATTCTTATATTTACTTCAAATTTTCTCCTTGTTTTCAATGTATATTTTCTTTTCATTTATTTATATTCTCTCTTGTTTCTTCCTTCCCACCTCCTGCTAATCCCCTAACTACTTGCCTCTCTCTCTTTCTCTCTCTATAAGGCCTGTAGATACTCATGCATGCCGATGCTTGAGTCTGATACCAATTTCATTTAGAGTAACTTCATTTCAGGATGCACAAGGAAGCATCATTCCTTGACGATTCTCTCACCAGAACAGGTGATATATTGACCCAGGGTTTCCTTCCTGACTCTGTAAGCACAGCACTGACTTTTTTATTTGGCCACGGAAATCAACAAAACATGAACTCATCATGTAATTGGTCAAATTTTGGTGAAAATTGGCAGAAGTCCAGAAAATCGGATGAGCATAAGTTGAATAGCTGCAAGAGAGGTATATCTGTTGTGGAAAACAATAATATATCTTCCAACATTGAAGAAATATCTAGATCCTCTTTTGACTCCTGTACCATAAAAAAAATGAATGCTGCATCATCTCCCATTAAGGATGGTTTTGTCTACAAGAGAAGGAAAATGCAAAGGAATACTGATGCACTTCTGTCAGGTAAAAATGCAGCTGAAGTTACTGAAGAAAACGCTCTATCTGATTTTAACCTCAGTTCCTCAGACTATCACTTGGCACTGCATGAGGATAGTTCTGATGATGTTCAAGCAGCTGTGCATCGTTCTAGTGACTGTCAAGATAATGAAAGGCCATCATTTTCTGGAAGACATCATCTTGATGTACATACTTACGACTCACAACATATTGATTATAAGAATCTAGAATCTGTTAAAAAATCTGCAAACAATGACCAGATTTCTGCTAGGGATGTATCACATTCTGCCAAAGAGTTTACCAATAAACTTTGCTGTTCTTCAACAGGAAACTACAATGCCGTCAACAGTACCTTTGCAGCATCAAAATCCCGTGTTCCATGTGCTTCGATTTTGTCAGTGGCAGGAGAGCACGGTGGGGACTGTTCTACATCTGGTGCTATTTCTTTAGAATCTCTTGATAAGTTTGAGTCACCAGAGGAAATGTGCATCTATGTTCTTAAAAGGCATGGATTGCTTGGAAAAAATAATAGGAACAGTGCTTTTGCATCATCAGAAAACCTTGGTTCTGTTGGATCTTTGTTTTCTCCATGCAAAATCTGTGGTATTTCAGAAAATGCCGTAAAAATGCTAATTTGTGATGATTGCGAGGAAGCATTTCATTTGTCTTGCTGCAGACCTAAAATAAAAAGGCTGCCTAGGGATGAATGGTACTGTCAATCTTGTTTCATAAAGAAACGAAAGCACTTAGTGAGGAAGAATATGGGAACATCATCAGGTAATGTGGGTGATATCTCTGAGAGTGGTGGTCCTATAGCATCCATGTTGCGAGACTTACGTCCACATAGATCTCGAGTACGCATTGGTGAGGATTTTCAAGTTGAAGTTCCAGATTGGTCTGGCACGTTCTCTAAGTATGCATTTTGATCCTCTTTTCATTATTCCACAAGTACTTTTTGTACTAATCGCATGACTACATACTTACAAGTTAAAAAAGAAGAAAATAAGAATTTCTAGGGATTCATAGCATGTAATTTGTGACATAAACAATTTGAAGTTCAAATCAAGCGCTCACCCCATTTTAGATGCAGGAAAATCCATACAACAACAACAAAATCAAGCCTTTGTCCCACTATGTGGGTCAGCTACATGAATCTTTTTTTCAATTGTATCATGTTAAAAGTCAAATTCTCATTTAAATCTAATAAAGAAAGATCATTTTTAATATTTTCTTAACCAAGTCTTTTTATGTCTACCTCTACCTTTCTTAACATAAGTTAAATCTAATACCTCTACTTTCCTAACCGGGTCATCGGAAGACCGCCGTTTTATGTGACCAAACCATCTAAGGAGACTATCTCTAATCTTATCTTCCACTGGTGCTACTCCAACCTTTTCACGTATATGCTTATTTTATATCCTATCTCTAAGGGTAAAGCCACTCATCCATGTGAGCATCCTCATCTCTACAACTCTTAACTTAGTATTATGCTTTTCTTTTAGTGACCTACATTCGGCACCATAAAGCATTGCAGGTCTCACCACTATCTTTTAGAATTTTCTCTTAAGTTTGAGGGGGACTTTTCTATCACACAACAAGCTCGATGCATTCCTCCACTTCAACCATCCAACTTGAATTCTGCTAATAATATCCCCATCTATTTCACCATCATTCTAAACAATAGATCCAAGATATCTAAAATGTGGACTCTTATTAATGAGTTGATCGCCCAAAGTCACAATCCCCTCACTAGGTCTATTACTTCTAAAATTACACTCTATATATTCAGTTTAGATCTACTCAAGCGAATCTTTAGACTCTAAGGTTGACCTCCATAATTAGGGAACCATAGCAACTTATTGATGACTTCAAATATTTAAATTAAAGTTTAAATGAATAGAAGTTCTATTCTTCAAGCCTATCAACATCTTTCTTGCAGTTGCGAATATGATGAAATCTATGCATCAAGAGGTAATATGCCTTTAGTTAAAAGATTCTCCATCTTTGTAATATATCTATTTTTGTAGCTTCAGCTAGATAATTAGCTGTCATGTGTAGTTACTAATGAGCAAGCCCATCCTGACCTAGATGTCTGTATCTAATTAGTACAGAAATCTTTACAATATAATGTTAAGGTTGCAAATATCTCTCTTTCGCTGTTCAGTGGCAGGAGCTGCATGCAGCAGGCAAGCTTTTAAGATTTATGATAATATTCTTTGGTTATATGAAAAGAATCTAGACATTGGTTCTGTCTTTAGAGAATTAAGGACTTGATTTGATCAAAGCAGCATAAAATGAAGATGATTTTCTTTCTATTTTATTTTGAAGTTATCATTGCAGTTAATTTTGATCTCATGCATGAAAGCAAAGCTATTGAGGAGAATATTAGGTTAAAACTTCAGTATAAACATATAATGGGAAGGATATTGGTATTCACAAAATAAAATCTTTATTATATGGCTGATTTTATTGTAATAATAAAGGTTTATGCCGCTTTAACACAAAGCTGATATCAGACTAGGTGTTAGTCAATTGGCGGTAAAAACATACTATTGTTTTAGTGCACTTATTTAAAAATCTTGAATTTCCTTGTGTGGTGCAGACTATGAATACTAATTGCCCAAACATCTAAAATTATATTGGTTTTCAGTAAGTTATCTAGTTTGTACTAAAAATGTTTTAAATGATATTTTAACATTTAAGTTTATAGAGTTAGGAAAACTACCAAATATAATATTTTGTGGGTTAATTAAAATTTAAATATTGCAGCGATCATTTGAAATATTATCTCACATTGTTATGACTATTTGAAATATTCTCTCAAATTGTTATGACTATTTGAAATATTCTCTCAAATTGTTATCACTAATGTGTTACAAAGAATTGTTGGTCAGAAAGCTATTAAACAGTAGATAAGTTAGAAGTTCGGGCTTAAATAAAACTTGGTTAATATGGTTGCAGTTGTTCTAAGTTGTCACGTCACATTGGAATTTATGGAGGATTCATTAAGCTCCCAAATATTTTGTATAAGGCTAACGATGATGATTATGATTTGAGCAAATTGCTTAGAAATGATTGGGGCACATAGTGATTCAGAACCTCAGGGACCATCAACACTTCACCCATTTGATCATCGATGATTTGCTTTAGTTGCACTTCTTTATATCATTCACTAATAATTTGATGCCCTTTCTGTAATTTTCTTAAATATTTTAGTCCTCATCTATCAGGACCCTTCTACATAAATTGCGCCTTAGGATTTATTATGGTTAATGAATAATGATGATGTTGCCTTCATGGACTTCCCTTCTAACCTCTCTTTCTCTTTTCCTCTCTCACTCTCCCCTCATAGTAAGCTCCCCTTTATCTTTCCGTTTCCTCATCTGCCCTGTTTTTCTCTTCCTGCTTAATACCATTTCCTTCCCTTACTCTTACTCCCCCCCTTTCTATTACCCAGTCAAGCTTCACCTCTATCCTACATAGCCAATTGAACCCTTCCTTCCTCCAAGAAATCAACCACCACTTTTCCATTCACATTGCACAGCTGCCACCTCCTCTCCTTATCACCATCCAGGAAAGCAAAGTCTAAGATCTGCTCGCTCTTCCTAACCCAACCTTAAGATATCATTCTCCATGATGATCCATGGCAAAGTCCATCATTCAGTAGAGTTCCATGATTAGAGCAAGGAAGTAAAATAATAGTTTAATTCTATCTCAATCAGTGGGAAGGGGTCGGCCAAAGAGAGAGGGAAATGGGATAGGGTGTCCAGGTTCAATGAATGTGGAATTTGAATTGATTCCTAATTAATTTCTGATTTACCCAAGCCTTGATTGAAAGAAGGTTTTTCAAAATTAAGCTAAATGATTTAGGAAAGGATTTGAAATTCAAATATATTTGAATTCAAATTAGGAACTTTCCAAGTTAACAATAGATTAATTTAGGAAGGTAATAAAGAGGCTATTTTGAATTCAAAATTTGTGGAGGATGGAAGAGGTTAGGGGTGAGGTGGTTGGCTGACTATGGAGGTGGAGGGGTTGATGTTTGATCCAAAAGAAAAGTTAACGAAAATCAAATGACATAAAACAAAAACGGATGGTGAATGGAGGAGACTAGAGATGAGAGGACAGAGACCAAAGAAAAAATAAAATAAAAACGATACAAATCACGAGCTCGGACTCTTCCTGCGGCTGGTGGGTACTACGTTGCCCTCCTCGAGGGACTTCAATCCATGAGCCTGGATCCATCCTGCGGCTGGTGGAAATAAGATTGTCCTCCCATAGGTGATGTGAAACATAAATGCCATGTACTTGCCTAGGTTGCAAGATTAATTAAATCCCAATCAATTTGGGGAGAGAGAATGAAAATCTGAAATTAAATTTCAGATTAAGTGGAATTGACGGGATGAATTTGAATTTAAACTCAAATTTAATGGGGAGAATTAATTTGGATGAGAGGGAATTGTGGGAGGTAATTATGGAGGCTTAATGAGGGGGCCTATTAATGAGATAAGAGAGAGATGGGAAATTTTAAGTAGGTGGGGACCACAATTAATTAATCAAAATCTGAAATTTAGATTTTAGATTTTAATTATATCATGTAACTCCCTTCTTTAAAGAAAATTGGGAGGGAATTTGAATTTAAAAAAGATTGTAACTCCCCGTAATTAATATCCTAATTTAATTTGACTTAATTAGGAAATTCATTAGGGGAGGAGAATTCAAAATTCGAATAGGTGGGCTAGAGGGAAACCGGCGGCAAGGCTTCACGGGTGGCCGGCGGCAAGGACTCCACGGTGGACGGTGGGCCGCTGGGCGGTTTTCTGGCCGGCGGGATGGGGTGCTGGGTTGGTCGGCGGGAGGCTGGCCGGCGGTTGGCTAGGGGAAAGGGGCGGCGGCAAGGATCCAAGGAGGGAGGAAAAGGGCAATTCTACTAGGGATTACTATGCCACGGATTCACCTTGATTTCCCACACCAATTGATCACAAAGATATTGGAGAAGAAGGTCTAGAACTCACAAAGAGATCTAGCTCTTCTCAAAACTCACTAAGAGATTTGAGAGAGAGATGCACTCACAAAGAGAACACAAAGTAGAGAACTCACTAAGAGATCTCAAAAGAAAAAGAACTTACTAAGAGATCTAAAAGATGGAACTCACAAAGAGAACGCAAAAAGCAAATTTTCATTAACCATTCATCATCCCATTACATAAGAAAGGGCCTCTATATATAGGCCTAAGAAACTAAAACAAGACACATATGCCCCTAAGGCTTACATAGGACGACCCTCTTAAGTGAGGGTAAAAACGGAAAATTCATAATAAAAAATTTAAAAATTACAAATAAAATATAAGACAACGTGGGACGATGACAGACGTTGATCTTCAGCTCCTCGGATAGCCATGGACGGTTGGATGTCCGCATCAATAGGTCTTTTCCTCTTCAGAACTCACACAGAGATCAAGACAAAGGCTCCAATTCTTTTTTTTATTAATAATCCATCATTATATTATACAAGCAAGTGCCTCTATATACAGGTCTAAGAAAACTAAAATAAGACATATATACCCCTAGGGCTTACATAGGACGACCCTCTTAAGTGAAAGTAAAAATGGAAAATTCATAATAAAAATAAAAATTACAAATAAAATTTAAGATAACGTGGGACGATGACGGCCGTCGATCTTCAGCTCCTCCTCGGGTAGACATGGACGGTTGGATGTCTGCATCACTCTGCATTGATTTAGGTCCCTTCGCTTAATCTTTCCTTCCTTTTTTTTGTTAATTTAACGAGTTTAATTACTTTTTCCTTATATGCTCAAAGCTCCCCCCTTTTACTACATTGGTTGCATGGATTTTTTTTTCTTACTATACGCACTATACCTAATGATAACACAAATCAGAACATATTAAAGTGTTTTGCATTTACAAAAATAAGTATACATGGAGATCGTTTGGCAATAGTTGATTTTGTTGCTTGCAGACCAAAAAATCTCTCCTTATTCCGAAATAGAATAGGTTGTAAATCTGCAAGCTCCCTAACTGTCTGGTCCGGTATTAGTCGTTCCATGCAATGATACAAGCCAAGCTTCACCTCCGGGTTTAAAGATTTCCTCTCTAAATATTAAAATTGAGGATTTAGATAATACACCGCTGCATGTAGATGACGGTGTAACTGTACCTCCCACGAAGCATCAATGATATCCCAAATATCTTTATAACTTGCCTCCTCTCCTCCCAAGTTATGTGCAATCAACTCCTTCGCCTCATCCATAGCATTATAAATAAAACCCATGGCTTGTTTCTTCTCGGCATCCACTAAACGTAAAACTTGCACCATGGGTCTCGTGCTCAATATGGCATATGTCACAGTAGCCCAAAATTTATCATTTAGAATTAGTTTTCTTGTTTTCTTCACATCAGGTTTTCTTCACCCACGCAGAGTTAAGCCATTATGTTGATGTAAACATTGCTTCAAGAGGTTGTCTCACATCCAACAGGCTATGCAGTGTCAAATAAGATGCGGCAAACCTATAGAATAAACTTGCATTAGGAATTGAAAATGATTTGCAGTGCAAAAATGTAATAACGAACCTAGTGGTTGCAGGGCGAATGATTTTCTTCTTTGAAAACTTTCTCATCAAGGCTAAGACCCATGAGTGGTTGTAGATGAAGTTTGTGATCTTCTTCGCCCTAGAAAGAGCGTTATTGTGTTGAGGTAAATCACCAAGTTCCTCCAATATGAGATCGATACAATGTGCTGCGCAGGGGGTCCAATATAGGTGTTTCCTCTTCTCCATGAACATCTGACCAGCTGGTTTGTATGCACTGGCATTGTCAGTCACCACCTGAACAATCAATTACTCCCCAATCTCATCAACAACCCCCCAATCTCATCAACAACCCCCCAATCTCATCAACAACCCCATCTAGTAAATTGAAAATGAATGCAACATTTTTAGCCTCATTTAAAGCTTCAACTGATCGTAAAAATACCGTGCCGTAGGGATTGTTGACAAGGATATTAATTAAACTCCTACTCTTCATGTCAGACCATCCATCTGACATAATGGTAACACCAGTCTCAATCCATGTATGTTTAATCTCATCAATGCTATGCTCTATGTTATGCAGCTCCTCTTTCAATATCCATGTTCGCAACTCATACATGGAAGGTGCCTTCAACCATCTCCCATGCAATCCTACAGACCGCAGCATATTGAAATAGGCCGACGATGTCACAACATTAAATGGTATGGTATTCTAAAAAAAAATCTGTCAATATCCATGCAAATCTGCCTTCGACCCTCTCTGGTACCAGCCGCAGGCATCATCTGTGCTTGTCCTCTATCCTCTCCTGGAATAGTCATATACTGGTCCATCGGACCCCGCACACCTCTATTATGTATAGTGGAGGAAGAGCCCTTTCCCTCTCGCTCCCGAAGGAAGCACCATGTTCGGTTCATCAAATTGCTTATGTTGTAAGTGTTTTGGGTGTTACTTTTCTTCATGTAAGCAATAATTTCATCCTTCACCTTATTCGGCACATTGACACATGGTGCTATGTTTTATGAGAGCATGATAAGTGTTCCTTCATGTGGGTAACTCCGCCCTTCGCCACGTTTTCGCAAAAATTGCATTTCAAATACACATAAATCTTCTCACCGCCGCCTATGTCAACTTGTACACTATATTTCCAAGAAGGGTCCCTCCGCAATGCCGTATTACACTTTTCCTTGCTCTTAACCATATTTCCTAAAGGAAAAAAGCAAAATAGAACAAAAAAACTCAAAAAAATTTAAAACCTTAGCTTTCCTATAAGTTGAAAAATCATACACTAAACTTTAAATAAATTATAACTCTTCAAGAAGTGATGTAGAGGGGTGGCTGGAAATAAGGAACTCACCGGCGAGCGGCGGCGCCGGCGGGAGAGGCGGCGGAGACGTGCGGGATAGCCAGCTTCGGGAGCTTGCGGGATCGGGAATGAAGGACTGCGGGTTCGGGAGTTGCGGTTTGGCTTGGACCAGTAGAAGGGAGAAAATAAAATTCATTTTTATGTTAAGTAAGTGGGACCCTTTCTATGAGGCGCGCGCCTCAACATTAATTGCGCAATTGAGGTGCGCCTCACCATCCTTGAGGCGTAAGCCTCAACAAACACCAAAATTGCTTAGGCAATGAGGCGTTTTTGGTCTGAATTAGAGGCGCGCCTCTAATTGCGTAATTTTAAACTATGGTTTTTACTGATATCACATTGGCGGTACCATATCTAGATGATTAATATGGCAACATGCAGGATATTATGATAATATAGGAAAATTTTCCATTTTAGCTGTAAGATGAAGCCAAGCGTTAAATCTTTCTGGTCATACATGTTACTTTTTTCTTGTTCAATTTTACCTAAATTGGGCGGTATATAAAAGCTGCGATAGTTGGAGCATCTAAAATTTATTCTCTTCGTTGCAGTTTATGCCTGACCTTTAAGAACATGTTTATAGATGTTGGGTTTAATATAATTTAACAATCACATTTTTTGTTTAATCATGATGTTCTCTTTTATTTAAGAAGATGAAATATTCAGTTTCATACGCCCTATTCCGTAATTCGTGAGATATTGAAGATAATCAAGCTGTGAATTTAAGTTACGGTTTCCAGTTACTTTTCAGCAGAAAGCACAGAAACTTTTCCTTCTATAATTGTCATTTTAACGTTTTAAGCTGTCCATGGATTATTACTTTAGGATGCCACCACTTCAGCTACTATGTAAGGCATCTTAACAACCAAACATATCGCATTTGCACCCCAAAATTATATTTCTCTTATACATATTTTTTTGTGCATTCTAAATTTTCACATTGTTTTCTTTCATGTCCTATGTGCATAGTAGTGATGACTATTTTGGTGAGCCCAAGGAGATGGATCATGCTGATTGTTGTAGCTTTGAGGTAATATTCTCTTTTTGTGTTTTGTGCATGCTCACAAACATGCACTATTATATATGTTATTGTATGAGCATATATAAGTGAATGATGAGCTCTTGTGTATGTGGATTTTCACATGCATCTAGGGAAAATTTCAAGTAGGTTCCTTCATTATGGGGAAAGTTTCACGTGGGCACATTATATTTTTGACATTTTGCATGCATCTCTCAAGTTCGAGATGAAAATATTTCGTCTTGTTTTCTATCATTTAATATCATTTAGCATCGTAAAATTACTATTTCAATTTTTATTTCATTTCTTAAATTTAGTACTGCTTGGTTTTTCTAAGCTAATTATAACCTTTGCGAATTAGATCCATGATGTTATAAGCCATTTTGCGTGTTGAATGTTACTAATTAGGTTGGTGTAGCTGTGGTTTGATTTTGGGGTTTGTGTCGGTGGCTTTGTGGTTAATCTCAAATTATTAAGTATGGTTGTTGTGGTATTTTGTAACCTTTTTAAAGAAGTAAAATGAAAAAAAATTCTAGAAATTCTACTCATTCATTATAACTCAGGGTCTAGGGTTTCTCAATATAACTAAATGATGCTACAAAAGAAAATCAAGCAAGAGAAATTGAAATTCGCACTTTGCATATAACCAATTTATACAATTTTTTGTTTTTCTTACATGAATTCATTCAAAATAGTAATTTAATAATGACCAAATTAGAATTTTCTCAAGAAAATACTAATCACAAAAATCATACTTTGATTAAGACTCGAACCACAAAAAATATAGATTGTAACAGTTTTGGCTAAAGAATGATCACACCCACAAAATTAATAAGAAAATATGCAGTAGAAAATGTGATAAGAGAAGAATTTACCAAATAAAAAATTTAGTCTCACATAGGTGTTAGGAGATGAATTCCTTTAGAAGCTGTCAGTCAACATGATGTGATACAATCAACGGAATTGTAGGATTTTATTAAGAAATTTGTTTTAGCAATGAATTTATAAGATTAATGTCTCACTAAGTTAACTTAAGACTTTTAGTTTTCGTGGTTATTGATTTGCTTCAAGTATGCGGTTACACGTTAGATTAACAGGACGATCCCAAAATAATAACAATAAAATAGTAAACACATGTGATTAATGATAATCCGTCACTAAACAAATAGAGCTTTCACCTTGGAGTTTCCCTCTCGATCGCTCGTTGGAAGTAGGGTTAGCGGAGGAGGAATGTCAGCAACCCGAGTGATGCCATTGAAAGACAGGGAATGCTGGCAGATTTGATCAACGAGAAGTTGGCCGGAGTTGGAGAGACGGGTGGTCGTCCGGTGATCTTCCATTGTTCTGTAGGTCGTTGTTCGTCGATGATGTCCTCCAAATGGAAGAGAATACGCTCAACGTATTCCTCAACGGTGTTTCGGATCTGAATCCAGGGTCGAAGAAAGGTGAGTGAATGATGTCGATTTGCCCTGGAGAATTTTAAGTAAATCTGTGATCGACCTCAGGATCCGCCATACATGGACATGGGAGGACTTTTTGTTGTGTGCCTTGGAGGGGGGGGGGTACTAGCGTTTGGTGGTCAGGGAGAGGAGGGGACGACTAGGGTTAGTGGATGGGATTTGAGGTTTTAATTTTTCTTTTGGAATTAATTATCCAAAGAGGGTAATTAATTAAAGGAAATAATGGGGTGGAGGGAAGAACTAGAATTCAAAATTTTGGAGGCCAAAGAGGGGCCGGCGGCATGCATGGAGAAAGGAGATTATTTGGAGAGATTTAGGAAGGGATTAGGGGGCTTTAATGGAGGCTTTGAATTAATTAATAGAGAGAGAGGGGATCCAGGAGAGGTGGCCAACCATATAGGACTAGGAGAGTTTAATTTCATTAAACATGCTGGCCCCAAGGATGGAAATAAAGATTTGACACAAATCTGGATTTAATTTCAGATTTGTTTAAATTAGGGAGATTTCCTAATTTAAATTCTAGACTTAGGAAATAATTTGAATTCAATTGCTTAATTGAATATCAATTAGAAATTTTCCTAATTATCTAAAACTCATTTTATGAAAGTGATTAATGGGCATTTGAAATTTTAATTTCAAATTTGGGAATCAATTGGAGGTGCCGGCGGTTTGGACTTGTGGAGAGGGGAAGATGGGGTGGGGAGGCCGGTGGCTGAAAGGGTGGTGGGCCGGCCAAGGGAGCCCGGTGGCGTGGGAGAGGGAATCTAGGTTTAGTGAAAAGAAAGTGGGGTGAGAATGGTGAGGCTGGTGGGTGGATGGGTTAGGAGAGGGGTTTTGAAGTAGAGGAAAATAAAAGAGATCGTAGAACCGCAAACCTTGAAATCCTCCAAAGGTTGACGGATATTGCTTTCACCCTCGCCTAGGGTTTCTCCTCTCAAAAACTCACAAAGAGATCCAGCAAGAAAGTGGAATTCTCATTCATCATCATTATTAGAAAATAATACAATGCCTAGGCCTTCATATATAGGCTTCCAAAGCACAAAATGTAAAAGACACAAATACCCTCAGGCTACAACATGACACACATCCCTCATTGGGGTACAGGCGAAAAACTAAAAAAATTAAATAAAAGAAATGCACTAAAACATCATAAATAGAGACTATGAATCGTAGCCTTCGATCTACGATTCCACCGATGGTAAGTACATCGAAATCTCCGACGGATGTCCTCATCACAACACTTAACTGTAGTCGATTAATTTGCATCCAGGCAGCTTACAGATATGAGGAAGAAAAGGAATTTATCAAGCAATATTATTTATTTTTATTTCTTAATTGTCCCTTTTATAATTACAAAATACCCCAAAGTTGGTCCCTCACAAAATCCTGAAGTCAACTCAAGTGACAAAAAATACAATTTAGCAAATCTAAGAATCATATTAAATTGCTTGAATCAAAAGTTAACATATGAGCCATAATCAGCGATGTGAAGGATTCAGCCTTCAACTAAATAATCTCAAATTAACGATCCTTAATTAGTAGCGAAGTCTCAGCTCCCAAAAGCAAGCCAACTTCAGGTAGGCATGAGCTGACAATTGGAGGAATAGTGCAACATCAGCTAAGGATGGTGCAACATCTTCTAAGCAATAGTAATCAAGTGCAGGACAACAACATGGGAGAAACAATCGTAAGGAAGAGCAATATTGGAAGAAACATTCAAGAGAGAACAACAATAATCTAAAAAAACCGGCAAAAGAACAACAATGAACCCAACCAAATTAACATGAGCATTTGAGCTATTTTCTATTGGGATCATCACCATAGGCTAGTTTACATTGAAATATCAAATCAAAACTATGAAATAAGAACTACTAAAACAACAAAGTAGAAACATTGCTCAAATCATCTAATTGCTAGTCTCTAAATACACAATTTGTATTTCTGATGAGTATATAGACTTTCAAATTTTCATAAAATTATGATTGTTGTGAAGTCAGAGCTGACGAATTGGGCATTTGATATTAATTTTAAAAAAATCAGCATAATGATCCATTAATAATAAAGTAATTCATGAATCATCACAAAAAAGTCTGTCACCCAATGGCATTTGATGCCTTAGATATCAGATTAGCAGTTAACACAATCTCGTCATTTAAGATTGCTTCTATAACAAGATGTGTATAATTTCCAAATAAAGTGTCAAACATGATTTTACGAGAAGATGGAGAAAAAGAAGAAGCAAAACAGTGTGTGCAATTTCATGAATTATGACAAATTAGATACATTGATGATTAGGCTAAACCAGAACTTCTTGAAAATTCCAATTAACAAATTAGACTCATTGATAATTAGGCTAATACCGGAACTTCTCAAAAATTCCAATTGACATATTAGATACATTGATGCTTAGGCTAATACTAGAACTCTTCAAAAATTCCAATTTATAAGCATTTGTTTCTATGCACTTTATGGTTTTATATGACTTAGTTTTTCTAGCAATTAATTTCTTAAGGTCATACAAAAAATATTTCACCAATTAGTTATTCTGTTATTTTATCACCTTGTTTAAATTCCACATAATTTTTATTCACATCTGTTGTTGATTCATAATTATTATAATTAATAATTAATTTTTGCAAATCTCCATACACCTCATAGATATGATTCACAAATAGTTATGCAAACTTTCTAGGCCTAGACTTAATAGGAAGTTTTAGAAGATTGGGAGACTCTATTGGTTGAAATCTTACAATTTTCATAATTCATATCTATTCATTTTATATAGACTTGTTAATAGATGAATTATATACAAATTCAGGTATATTCAACATCAAATCTCAATCAATTCTTTAATTAAGCATCACTATAGATTTCTATATGTAGAAAGGTAGAAAAATAGAAAAGGTATATTTTAAATGTTATTGCTTGATTCTATATAAAGTATGAATGTATTTATAAACTTCTTGCTTAAAATGTAAATACATCAAATTTATTTAAAAAAAAGGAAAAAGATCCCCAAAAGGGGGCAGCGATTAGAATAGGAAAAGGAGATACTTATTGCAATCTAAGGGTTATAAGAGGATCGATATGACGGTTGGAATCTTTAATCTATGTGCTCTAGGATCTCTACGAAGATTAGTTGACATCCCAAGTTCTTTTAACATTCACCCTTAAACTAAATGATATAAGTCCACCATTCAAAATTTAATTTGCCTACATTATTTTTGAAATTGGAGTTGCAGAGTCATTTGTTGGACATACCAACCAAAACTCTTATCTTACAACAAAATTGCACATCAAAAGTATACGCCAAAAATAACCAAATGTGACCCTTATTCGAATTCAACCTTGTCTTTTCCCTTACCTAAAAGAGTATTAACAGACGGGAAGTAATTAAAATAAGAAATTTTGTTATACTCATAGGTTATCTCATGTATTACTTATTGTCCTTGTATTATAACTAATATAAATTACATTTCATCAAGCGTTACATTTTTACAAGTTATAAATGAATTTCTTTTTTGGCTTACACAAATCATATGTAATTCCTCT